TCTATTTTTACTTGTTTCAGGAGTATTTATAATTGCTTGTTGAAACTTTTTGTGATGACTGCTTTGAAATCTTCATCAGTGAATTTCAACCGCTGAATCATCTTCGTGTGTGCTTTTGTTTGTTGTCTGTTGTCATTCAAGTTGTTATTTTCTGGGTTCTTGGCATGGCAAGTGGTCTTTGATTGTATCTTGGATATTTCGGGTACTATGTTAGAAGACTCAGAGTCTGTCTTCTTTAAAGCTTCCATTTTAGCAGGCAGTCTCCCCATTTAGATTTAGGATGCGGCCGGGCGCGGTGGCTCAAGCCTGTAATCCCAGCACTTTGGGAGGCCGAGACGGGTGGATCACGAGGTCAGGAGATCGAGACCATCCTGGCTAACACGGTGAAACCCCGTCTCTATTAAGAAATACAAAAAACTAGCCGGACGAGGTGGCGGGCGCCTGTACTCCCAGCTACTCGGGAGGCTGAGGCCGGAGAATGGCGTGAACCCGGGAGGCGGAGCTTGCAGTGAGCTGAGATCCGGCCACTGCACTCCAGCCTGGGCAACAGAGCGAGACTCCGTCTCAAAAAAAAAAAAAAAAAAAAGATTTAGGATGCAAGTCCTTAGGCTGTGGTTCCAATGACGAGTTTTCAGAGTCGCTGTAGTGCTATTGTAGTTGAGTTTGTTAGTGTGCTACTTGGGGGGCACTCTGCAATGTGTATGCACATTTGCATGTGTGAAACTTTCCTACTGGTCCAGTTCTAATCTTTTGACGTGTCGAATTGGTCAGTTTTACCTTTGGGTTGATCAGCTGTCTGCTCCAGACCTTCTATGCAGGCTTAAAGAATCATTTTCTCCAGTTTTTTCCTATCTGAGATCCTCTTCCCCATGTCTAGCTGGGGGTGGGGACAGAAGTCCAGGCTCCCCACTCCATCTCTGCGGACACCATGCCAGTAGGGAAGGAACTTGCTGCCAACAGTCCCCTGGCCCTGATGGGTGGGAGTGGGAGTCCACACCCCCTACCTGGCCTCTGCCGATGGCACCAGCCCAGGCTGCCTGCTGCTGCTGGGCGGGACATGGGAGTCTAGACTCTCTTTGAGACTTCACTGCAGTGCTGGAGTTGCTGCGGTGTTCACTTAGCTGAAGGTAAAGTGGGTATTACCAAAAAAGATTTCTGTCCTGTGGGCTGCCCATTTCCCTGTCTCTGCTAGAGAAATAAGGCGTTTCTTCAAGTTTTATTTTCCATCTGTGCCTTATGGTGGGTCTGGGTTGCAGGCTCCTCCAGCACCCAGTCCAGAATACAGCAAAGATAAAAACAAAACCCAGAGATTCGCCACCACCTCAGTCCTCAAGTCCTGAGTTCTCCAGCCAGGCTGCCTGCCTCTTTTTTACTTTTCCAAGGGTCCTTATGATTGTCGATTGAATTATTTCCAGGGTTTTTAGTTTCACTTAACAGAAAGGAGCAGAGGGAAGTGAATCGACTTGTCTAGGGGTAGAAAGCCAGCTCCTTTTTTATGCTAGATGTTTTTGTCTTTTACATTGTAACTAGAAACTCCTGGAGTTTTTTCCTCAGAATATTGGAGTCAATCAATGTTTCTTTCATTTTCAAATACAGAAATGTCTTATAACCTGTTTACTAAAATGATAAAGAATCAGGTTAACAGAGGCCAGGCATGGTGGTTCATGCCTGTAATCCCAGCACTTTGGGAAGCTCAGGCAGGTGGATCACCTGAGGTCAGGAGTTCAAGATCAGCCTGGCCAACATGGCGAAATCCCGTCTCTACAAAAAATGCAAAAATTAGCTAGGCGTGGTGGCAGGCACCTATAATCCCAGCTACTTGGGAGGCTGAGGCAGGGAGAATTGCTTGAACCCAGGAGGCAGAGGATGCAGTGAGCCGAGATCCCACCACTGCACTCCAGCCTGGGCAGGTCCCAAGAGCAAGCTGCAAAGGTGCCTGGCAAGTCTCAGCCCATGGCTGGATCCTCCCTCTGCTGCCTCTACTTGTTGGTTTTATGCCAGGTTTCCTACCTGGTTTCTTCCCAGAAGCCTAGTCTTGCAGGGGGTACAGGTGATTTTGGACAGTACTGCAGAGAGACCGGCCACTCGCCACCGTGAGACAAGTTGCATGAGGATGAGGCTTCAGAGGTCCGGCCTGACCCTGATTCAGGTGCGACGTCAGGGAGGAAACAAACGCTGGCATTAGGACTGCACCCAGCATGAATGAACTGTGATTGCAGAATGAGTAAACTTTTAGTTGGAGGACCATTTCCACTCCAAACTCCCGTGGGAGTAAGTTCTTCAGAAAACTGCCTTCAGGGTGCCCCAGGATCCTGTGGAAGTGCAGAGACTGGAACCGCCAACTGTCAGCCTTCTCTAGGGCAGGATGACAGCATGTTTCAGGTCCCACTGAATTGCCCAAAAGGCTGAATAAGCACATGTGCCAGCTTTCCAAGGTCCCCGAGGCTTGAGAGAAAGGGAGGGGTTGGAGGAAGTATTGATGCCAACTTTCGAAAGAAAACAAAATCAACATCAACATTCATAGATCTACCTAGGAATCCAACTTACAAGGGATGTAAAGGACCTCTTCAAGGAGAACTACAAACCACTGCTCAGTGAAATAAAAAGAGACCACAAATCACAATGGAAGGCATGACCATGGCCAAATCGGACTAGGAAGAAAAAACAATATTCGTCGGGAAAATGGCCATACTGCCCCAACGGTAATTTATAGGATTCATGCTCCACCATCAAGCTACCAATGCGAGTTTCTTCACAAATTGAAAAAACTGCTGTTAAAGCGTTCATATGGAATACCAAAAAAGAGCCCCGCATACCCAAGACAAGTCCTAAGTCAAACAGAATAAATGCTGAGGCATCACGCGTACACTGACTTCAAACTATACTACAAGCGCTATCAGTAACCAAAACACCATTGGTAGCTGGTACCAAAACAGGAGATATAGACCACTGGACAGAACAAGTCTCAGAAATAATACCCACATCTACAGCCTCTGATCCTTTGACAAACCTGAAGAGAAACAAAGAAATGGGGAACAGGATTCCCTATTTAATAATGTGTCCTGGGAAAATTGGCATAGCCATAGTAGAAAGCTGAAACTGGAGTCCCTTTTCCTTACTGCCTTATACAAAATTAAATTTAAGATGGATTAGACTCTAAATGGATTACTACTAATACCACTAAGAAATCCCTAGAGGCAAACCTAGGTAGTACCATTCAGCGGACATAGGCATGGCGCACAGAACTTCATGTCTAAATCACACCAAAAGCACAGCAGCAGAAACCAAAATTGACAAATGGATTCTCAATTAAACTAAAAGAGCTTCTGCATCAGCAAAAGAAGACACCATACAGAGTGAAACAGGCAACCTAACAGAATGGGCAAAATTGTTTGCAATCTACGTCATCTGACGAAAGGGCGTAATTCCCAGAACCCGTAACAAAGAACTCAAACAAAGTTTACAGACCCAAACCACCCCATCCAAAAAGTGGGCAAGGATATGAACAGACATTCCTCAAAAGAAACATGAATAGCAGCCCAACCAGACACTGACTCATCCATCACTCAGGCCATCAGAGAAATGCAAATGCGAGAAGAACCCACAATCGAGATACCATCTTTCCACGTTAGGAATGGCGCGATCATTAAAAAGTCAGGAAGAACAACAGGTGGCGGAGAGCGGGATGTGAGAAAATAGGGAACACATTTAAACTGTGGAGGTTCGTAACTAAGTTCACCAATTATGGAAATATGCGATCCTCAAGGCATTCTAAACTAGATGTACCATACAACCCAGCGACCATTCCCATTACTGGGTATCATTACCATCAAAGGATTATAAATTGATGCCGCCTATAAAGACCACATGCACCACGATTTTTTTGCAACCGCACTCATTTCACAACTAGCAAAGATTGGATCAGACCCAAATGTCATCATGACAGATTGGACTTAAGAAAATGATGGCCACATAAACCATGCGAATAACTCATCACTGCAGTCATAAAGAACAGGATGAGTTTGTGTCCTTTGTAGGGACATGTGTGCACTGGAACCATTCATTGCTTAGCAACACTATTCACAAGACAGCAAACCAACCACCGCATGTTCCTCACCTCATAGTGGAACTGAACAGTGAGATCACTGGGACTCAGCGGAAGGGGAACATCAATACCACGGGCCCTATCATGGGAGGGGGAGGGGGGAGGGATGCATTGGGAGTTATACCTGATGTAAATTGACGAGTTGATGGGTGCAGCACACCAACATGGCACAAGTATACACATGTAACAAACCTGCATGTTTATGACATACCCTACACTAATATAATAATAATAAATAAATTTAAAAAAATAAAAAATAAAAAAAAACACATTCATAGATCTATAAGGTGTATTTTATGTCAAATAATCCATCATAATTCAACTTATAGGAATATAAAATTGCATTTGATGTTGGGGGGACATTGAAATGTCATTGATATGACATGGAGTGGAATCTTCAGTGTTTTTAAAAAGGCCCAACTGAACCAGAAAAGCAGGGACAAAAAGAGAAGGGTGGGGAGGGAAAAGATCAGCTTCAGTTTGTGCACAATTTTGCAATCAGAAATGTCAGAAGGAAACTATCTTAGTGTCCACACACATAAGTTTTGTTAAATGGGGTGAGGGGTTGGGCGCGGTGGCTCATGCCTGTAATCCCAGTACTTTGGGAGGCCGACGTGGGAGGATCACCTGAGCTCAGAAGTTCAACACCAGCCTGACCAAAATGGTGAAACTCCATCTCTACTAAAAATACAAAAATTAGCTGGGCTTGATGACGGGTGCCTGTAATCCCAGCTACCCGGGAGGCTGAGGCAAGAGACTCGCTTGAACCCGGGAGGCAGAGTTTGCAGTGAGTTGAGATCGTGCCTCTGCACTCCAGCCTGGGTGGAGACTTCATCTCAAAAAAAATGAAAATGGGGTGGGGGTTTCATGAGGGGCTCACTGCTCCGGGTCTTACCTGGGTTCTACCAGTGGTGGGGCTGTGACTTTCCACTGGCAGCCACACCAAGCTGGCCACACCTGGCACTTCTGGTGCGGTGGCTGAGGATGCCCCGGAGATGAGGTCTTCAGATGCCCCTTCATGTGCACCAGATGCCAACTGCCTGCTGTAGGGGAGGGTGGCGGAGACCCTAAGGTTCAGTGTGTAGGAGGATTAGCTGGTTTGCCAGACAAACTTAGAGCATCCCTGCCCTGTGGGGTAAAGGGTAAGAATTGTCACCCTTTGGTGCTGGCTCCTGTGCCAGGACCCCCTCCCAGGACAAGTGCACACAATCCCCTCCCAGCACTGCTGGGACACAGCCCTGCAACTTGCAGCAGGCTCCGCCCACCTCTTCCCTACAACCCCCACTCCTGTTTGGGGCTGTAAAAATAGAAAAAAGCTCCCATACAAGCCCAAAATGCTTTTTCTATTCTCTCACCCTACAACAATCAACACAGAAGACTTCTATGGCCAAATGTGTGGGGATTTCTCCCCAACAATACACAAGCAATCGGTTCTGCAGCGGACACCAGTTGGGTGTCCCCGACTTCAGTTCTGATACTGTCCACCTGGAGGTAGCATCAGATCCGAGGGTGAGGCCTCCGTGCCCAAGACTACCCCCCTCCCCAGCCCCACTGGATACCAGGAACGAGTGCGGGGCCTCCAGAACTCCTGACTGGCTGGCTTCAAATTGGGGTCCCCATGGCTCCTTTTGGTTTGATGAATTTGCTAGAGTAGCTCTCGTAACTCTGGGGAACACTTACCTTTAGTGGTTGATTACGAAGGACACAAATGAAGAGATGCAGAGGGGGAGGTACGGGAGAGGGAGCACGAAGCTTCGATGCCCTCCCCAGGGACCGCCCTCCAAGAAGCAACCCGTGTTCAGCCATCCAAGAGCTCCTGGCATCCAGTTCTTCGGGGTTTTTATGGAAGCTTCACGACTGATTAAACCACTGGCAACCTCCAGGCTGGGGGGTGGAGTTGAAAGTCCTGACCTCTAATCCTGCCTAGATGTTTCTCATAAGCTGCTCTACCCTCCCTAGGGGCTGCCAGCCAGCAGGTCATTCATTCCTGTACAAAAAGGCATCACTGTGGAGTTGCTAAGGATTTCAGGAGTCATGTGCCGGGAAATGGGGTTCACAATATCACAGGGGCCATGCTGGGGCTCCCGTGAGCCTGAGTCACCCAGCCTCGTCCATAGTGTGCTCAGGAGCCCTGCACTGTAGGGCAGGATGTGCATCCCGTGCATGGGACAGGGGTCACAGAGGACACAGAGGAGCTTGGAAGTGTGACAGGACTGGGCCATGACAACCCATTCTGCTGCCAAGGAATAGTGAGAGAGAAGGCTCCCCAGGGCGCAGCCACAGCACACCTAGGGCGTCCATGGAAGCAGAGCCCATGCAGGCCTCTCCCTGTGAGTTCGGGTCATCTGAGACTGGTCATTTGAGCCCCAGCCATGTGCTGTTGATGATGTGAGACCACAGCCTATCCAGGAATCGAAATGGAGGCGTCTGCTCCAGCCACCTGTGATTTACGGGCATTAATTGCAGACCTGCTCCTGTCTTATAAAATCAGGATGGAGCCGCCACTGCTGAGGCAAGGAAAAGATTTGTCTAAAATATTGGCTGCTGTCGTCGATACTGGGACCTCTTGAGCCAGGTCCCTTCCGCATTCTGATGAGGTAAGGCTGCCCTGGAAGAAAAAGGTCTCCAGAACATAAATCTATTTGACACCAAATGTGTCCTCACGGCGAGCCAAACCCCCTGTGCAGGAGCCAGAGATATAGACACAGAAAAAGAGGAGCTGGTTCTGCCTTCAAGGACAGAAAGAAAGAGAAACTGCCTGGTGCTAAAGCAAGCCCTCTTTGCAGCTCATTCCAAGCCAAACCAGCTCCTGCAACTCTTGCCAAAGCCGTAGCTCTTCACGGGGATGGAAAACAAGCTCCTCCTGTGTGGCCATCGGGATGGTTTTCTCCTCCCCTCGTGCCTGCTGTAGATGAGGGGCGTTTCCTCACGCCGTGACTGTTGCTTTGGCCAATGGATCATTAGCAGTGAGGTGTGGGCAAAGGCCTGCAATATGCTTGTGCGTACAGTTGGCTCCGCTCCTGGGCTCTGGCCCTTCACCAGGAGAACACGTCCAGGTGCTGCTGATCAAAGGAGGAGGAGCCTGCGGGGCACGTCGGAGGCCACCCTGCCGCTTAGAGCCCGTGCAGCTGAGCCCAGTGGCCTGCACAGCCTTGTGTGAAGTGCTACAAGACACTGACACTGTGAAGTTGTCTGTTACACAGCATTATTGTGCCAATAATCCGTCACCACGTCCAGGACTTTAGAGAAGCAAGACGCTGATAGGATGCTCCCGCCACCATCTTCAGAATTATCTGAAAAACAACCCTGACACCAACATAATTTTTTTTCTCTCACTTCTTCAAAGTATATTATTCCCTCAGTCTGTGAGTCAGGGGTTATTTTATTTTTAAAGTTTGCTGCCTCCTCAGTAGATATAATTTGACCCTAATTTTGTAAGACATGAATATATATAAATATATTCCAGAGATGAGACTGAAATGCTCAAGATAGTGACAGCAGTATTTCTGGGTTGAGAGATCTAGAGTGACTTATGTTCCACTGAAAACATTTCTATATTTGTTCGCATTTTCTATAATAAGTCATTATTTTATGATCAGCTATATATATTTGATTTTTGAACAGATAAAGCTTAACATAAACATGGTTTAAACATAAAGTTTACTTCCCCAGAAACTTTGTTCACAATGTCAGAAACACAGGGCAGGAAGATAAGTCAATCCTTGCGCAACGGAGTCACTGTTCACCCTGGGAAGGGAGGTAACTGCCAGAAACCCAGACAAAGGGATCCTCAGATGCTGTTGGCCTCTTCTGCTTAGGAACTGATGGCAGAAAATATTTGTCCTTGAGAAAGCCAGCCCCTGATTAAATGTTACTATGCTCTGATGCAATGTCAGTAAATCATTTCCAAAACCCCGAACACTGAAATAGTGGGAGGTGGCCATGACCACTTGGGTGATTTCTCACCTGGGAGGACGTCATAAAGGTGAAGACAAGCACTGGGATACAAATGTGCTTGCAATGGGGACATCTGCAGCGAGCAGAGAGTGGGGCACACACCTCCCTAGACTTGTTTCTCAGAAACACATCAGGTCACCCACTTTCTCTCCAAAAGCAGAACATAAAGTCAGACTGAGCTCATGTTCCCTTGTCCATGAATAACTGGATGTGTGAGGTTATGACAGATTTAGAACCTGCCAAAATCAGAGTGAGTGTCCTTCCTGGGCTAGAACACACTCTACTTCTCTGAAGTGGAATAAGACGGAAATTTCATAAACTCAAGGGACAGAGAACATTGCCCACTGCAGCAGATGGTAATACTCAGGGGCATCCTCCAGGGTTCGTCAGGTGGGCAGAACCAGAATGGGTCATGGGATGAGAGATCTATTACAGGAACGAGACCTTGCCAGTTGCGGGAGAAGCTAGAGAAGCGAAGGTATCAGAGGGAAGTTGGCAGAGCGGAGGAATCACCAATTAGCCGGTCTGAGAAATCAAGCTTGTCGCGTTGCCAAAGCTGGTCCCTGAAGGCAGAGGAGACATCTACAGCAAGCTATTTCTTCTGTGGGTTTTCAGCCAAGCACCTGAAGATGGTCTGGAGCTATCGTTGGCCAGGAAGATGCCCCACAGTGAAGAAGACCAAATGGACAAGGAGTACAAGGACACGCAGGAGGCTGTGGCACCTCCAAGTGTGTCTGTCACCACACCTAACTGTGCTGACCTTTGGAAGGTAATGGCTGCTGCCTGCTGATCAGAATTGGCTGAGTCCTTTCTGTAAGGAAGGAAGGGGAAAGGGAAATCAAAAGGGAATCTGGCCTTGTCAGTTTCTACGGCGAGGCTCTGCCAGCAAAAAAACAGTGGCTATGGGCCAGGCAGCCCACCTGCTGCGGAGCCAGCTCTTCCAGCTAAGGGCTTCTCCACCTCAGCACTGCTGATGCTTCCAGCCCAGTGATCCTTTGTGGTGGGAGTTTATCCTGAACATCCTTGGCCTCTACCCACAGGATTCCAAGGGCATAGTCCCTGCAAGTCATAACCAAAACCATCTCCAGACATTGCCAAATGTCCCCAGAGTGGCGGCAGACAAAATCCTGCCAGCTGAGAACCATCGTTTTACCTTCTGCATCTCAGAGTGCTGAACCAAGGTTTGAGAACATAATGAAGCTTATTCGGTCACATTGTACTCACTAAAAAACATTGTTTTAAAAAATTTTAGTGAGAATAGAAAGGATTTCTATGCAATTAATAAACAGCTAAGGGCTGGGCATGGTGGCTCACACCTGTAATCCCAGCACTTTAGGAGGCTGAAGCAGGAGGATCACTTTAGGCCAGGAGATTTAGACGAGCCTAGGTAACATAGCAAGACCCCATCTCTACAAAAAGTTTAAAAATTAGCTGGGCATGGCTGTTGCCTAGCAAGTAAATAAATCCAGTGTTCTATTTTTCCATCACTGTGGCACTTATTGCCTTTCCTTTAACAATTCTGGAGATTCCACTAAGATTGCCTTGTTGATTCCCCTTGTCTGCAGCAGTGGACAGCTCAATCTGAGGAGTGTGAGCCCTCAGCTCAAAGGGCTGAGCCCACGGTCAGGGGCTCTGCTGCTTTTCGTGGTGAGTCACTCAACAGCAATAATGCCTTTCTTGTTTGCGGAGTTATAACCTGAGTCCTGGTCAGCAGTTTCCAATGCATGACTCAGAGTGTGAGACTTTGCTGGGATGCTAAAGTGATTCGTTGAGTTTTCAACCTTGATTTGTAACTTCTCTGTTAACTCTCTTTTGAAAGAAATCTTTGTCGTGGAGGAGTGAATAAGCTACTGAGCATCTGCAGAGTCCCACAGCTCTCTAAATTTCTGCCTATTCTATTTATAGTCTGTAATTCTCATTCAAATGCATGTTGGGTCATGGAGACCAATGCTGTCCAGAAAAAAACTGGCCCAGTCTTGACTCAATCTGAAAGTCTCTCTGCCACACAAAATTGTCATTTTCCATACTTATCACAGTTATCTGTGGGTTTGTCTCTCTGTTTCTTGTTCTAAAAATTCTGCAGAAAGTTTGGGATTGAAGCATTTATGCAAGAGTCATACGTAACAATTAAAATGGTAAATTTTATGTCATATATATTTCATCACAATAAAAAGTCAAATGCTGGCTGTACAAACTAAAAATAAAGAGTCAGACACAGACTTATGGGAGGCAGCTAGAGCAGTACTCACAGATAAATTTATAATTGTAAATACTTATGATAACAAAGAAAAAAGATCTCAAATCAACAACTTAACCTTCCACAGTAAGACACTATGAAAGAACAGCAAGCTAAACCCAAAGCAAGCATAAGAAAGGAAATCAGAAGAATTAGAGAGGAATTTAATGAAATAGCAATTAGAAAAACAATGGAGAAAATCAACAAAACTGAAAGTTGGTTTTTGTTGTTGTTGTTGTTTTTGTTTGCTTTTCCTTTTTTTTTTTTTTTTTTTTTTTTTTTTTTTTTTTTTTTTTTTTTTTTTGAGAGAGAAGTCTCACTCTTGTCGTCGCCCAGGCTGGAGTGCAATGGCACAATCTCGGCTCACTGCACCCTCCACCTCCTGGGTTTAAGTGATTCTCCTGCCTCAGCCTCCCGAGGAGCTGGGATTACAGGTGTGTGCCACCACGCCCAGCTAATTTTTGTATTTTTAGTAGAGACAGGGTTTCACCATGTTGGCCAGGCTGGTCACGAACTCCTGACCTCAGGCAGTCCGCCTGCCTTGGTCTCCCAAAGTGCTGTGATTACAGGTGTGAGCCACTGTGCCCAGCCAAAAGTTGATTCTTCTAAAAGATCAACAAAGTCGGCCAACCTTTACCTAGGCTGACTGACAAAAAAGACAGATGAGTCAAATTACTAAAATCAGAAATTAATGAGAGGCCATTGCCACCAACTTACAGAAATAAAAAAGAATTGTGAGGGAATACTATGGACATCTGTATGCCGACAAATTAGGTAACTTAGATGACATGGACAAATTCTTAGAAAGACACAAACTCCAAAACTGATTCTAGGAAAACACAGAAGATATAAATAGTCACAGAAAAGAGATTGAATTAGTAATAAAAGAAAAAATCTAGGCCAGGTGCGGTGTTATAAGCTTGTACTCCCAGCACTTTGGGAGGCTGAGGTGGGTGGATAGTTTGAGCTCAGAAATTTGAGACTAGCCTGGGCAACATGGTGAAACCCCATCTCTACAAATACGAAACAACAACAACAACAACAAAACTAGCCAGGTTCAGGGGTGTGTGCCTGCAGGCCCAGCTACTCTGGGAGATGGAGGTGGGAAGGTCGCTTGAGCCCAGGACGTCAAGGCTGCAGTGAGACTGCACTCCAGTCTGGGCAACAGAGTGAGGGCCTGTCTCAAAAAAAAAAGGAAAAGAAAAGAAATTCCCACAAAGAAAAGTGCAGCACTGAGGAATTCTACCAAACGTTTACTGAAGAATTATACTGATCTTTCACAAAATCTTCCAAAAAATAGAAGAGAAGGTAACACTTTCCAACTCTTCCTATGAGCCTGATAATAGCCCAATACCAAAAACAAAGATATCACAAGAAAACCATAGACCAGTATCTCTTCTGAGTACAGATGCAAAAATCCTGAACAAATTACTACCAAATTGAATCTAGCAACGTGTAAAAAGGATTTTACACCATAATCAAGTGGGATTTATCCCAGGGATGGAAGGTTGGCTTAATATCTAACAATAGATTATTTTAATACACCACACCATTACAATAAAGGAAAAAACACACAACAATCTTAATAGATGCAAAAAAGCACTTGGCAAAGTTTAATACTCTTTCATAATTTAAAAAACCACTTTTGAAAACTAGCAATAGAAGTTCCTAAGTCTGATAAAAAGCATCTATGAAAAATTTACAGCTAATATCATACTTAGTAGACAGACTGCTTACTTTTCCCTATGATCAAGATGTCTGTTCTTGCCACCTCTACTCAATATTGTACCAGAAGTTCTAGCCAGTGAAATTAGGCAAGAAAATGAAACAAAAGCCACCAAAATTGTAAAGGGAAAAATAAAACCATCACTATTTGCAGATTATCTAATCCTGTCTATAGAAAATCCTAAGGGGTCTAAGAAAAAAATTAATATTAGAACTAATAAATGAGTTCAGCCAAGTTTCAGGATACAAGATCAATATCAAAAAATCAGTTGTATTTCTATACATTAGCAGCGCAAATCAAAAAAATGAAATTAGAAAAACAGGCTGGGCTCAGTGGCTCATGCCTGTAATCCCAGCACTTTGGGAGGCTGAGGTGGGCAGATCACTTGAGGTCAGGAGTTCGAGATCAGCCTGGCCAACATGGTGAAACCCCGTCTCTACTGAAAGTACAAAACTTAGCTGGGCATGGTAGTGCGTGCCTGTAGTCCCAGCTACTCGGGAGGCTGAGGCACAAGAATCACTTGAACATGGGAGGCACAGGTTAGAGTGAGCCAAGGTTGCACCACTGCACTCCACCTTGGGCAACAGAGTAAGACTCTGTCTCAAAAAATAATAATAATAAATTAGAAAAACAAATTCATTTACGAGATAATTAAAAGGAATAAAATACCTAGGAGTAAATTTGACAAAAGAAGTACATTACTTATGCTCTGAATACCATAAAACATTGCTGAAAGAAATTAAAGAAACTCTAAATATATGCAAAAACATATCCCATGTTCATGTATTCAAAGACTTAATAATGTTAACACGGCAATATTACCCAAATTGATGTACAAAATTAAAGTAATTCCTGTCAAAATCCCAGCTGACTTAATTGCAAAAGTTGACAAGCTGATTCTAAAATTCATATAGAAACTCATGGACCCAAAATAGCAAAAAAGAAAAAATTTTGAAAAAGAAGAACAAATCTGTAGCACTTAAAATTCCCAATTTCATAACTTAATGTGAAGTTAACAATAATCAAGACAGAGTAGTATTGGCATAAGGATAGATATATGGATCAGTGGAATAGAATTAAGAATCTAGAAATGAACCTGTATATCTATATATTCAACTGATTTTCATTAACGATCCCAAAACCATTCAATAGGGGGGAGAGAATAATCTTTTCAACTGGGTGTGGGGAATAACAATTATATATATATACACACACACACACACATATATATCTATATATTTTTTTTTTTTTTTGAGACAGAGTCTTGCTCTGTTGCCAGGCTGAAATGCAGTGGTGCAATTTCAGCTCACTGCAACCTCTGCTTCCCGGGTTCAAGAGATTCTCCTTCCTCAGCCTCCCAAATAGTTGGAACTATAGGCGCACGCCATGACACACGGCTAATTTTTTGTATTTTTAGTAGAGACGGGGTTTCACCACATTGGCCAGGATGATCTTGATCTCTTGACCTTGTGATCCACCCGCCTCGGCCTCCCAAAGTGCTGGGATTACAGGCGTGAGCCACTGCACCTGGACAATAATAATCTTTTCAACAAATGGTGCTGGGACAACTGGATGTCTACATGTAAAAGAATTAAACTGAACCCCTACCTCATGCCACATACAAAGCTGAAAGACAAGTAAAAATGAATTAAAGACCTAAACATAAGAGCTAAAACTATAGAATTCTTAGAAGAACACATAGACTTAAATCCTCATAACCTTGGATTAAGCAACATTTTCTTAAGGATGACACCAAAAGCACAAGAAACAAAACCAAAAGTAGATAAACTGGACTTCACTAAAATTAAAATTTCTGTATTTCAAAGGACAACATTAAGGAAGTTAAAAT